CCCTAGAGGACGCAGTGTCTCGTTCCCCTCAGGGAACCATGGTTACACAAGTAACCTGAGACGTTTTTCTTTACGACAAAAAATAATAATAAATTTAAAATAAATATAAATAAATTGTTATAAATATATAAATATTTAAATGGTGGTTCTTGATGAAGACTCGCTGATAAATTCAATGAAACACTTTTTTTTTTGCGTTGCCAGCAGAGGCCTACCGTAATAATCATAATAAGCGCGCACAAGTTTCGTTGCGACTCGGCTTTGCGTCTAAAAATGCGCCGTGTTTTTGAATAAAGGGTCACAAGATGGAGTGTACGCGCGCTGCATGTGCGTTTAATACTGCCAAAGATTATGTTTTATTTGTAGGCTAAAATTAAAAAACGAGCTCCCTATCTGACTCGTTTTGTAGACTGAATTTCGAATTTAGAGTCGCGTAAACACATGATATGTCGTTGCCATTGGTGTCACTTCAGAAACTCATGCACATCTCTATTAATAGTCCTATTTAGCTGGCCTTATGTTGGAATGCTTAATTAAAAAAAAAAATTGAAATAAACCAGGATTATTTGTAATAAGACTATTTACAAAAATTCGAAGTTTTCTTACGTTTTGTCTTAAAATCTTAAGAAAGCACAAGAACACTGGTTAGATGAATTTGTGGGAAGAATGCAAAATATTCATAACTTTTTTTCTTAAGTTAGAAGGAGAACATGGCAGTTAAGAAGATTTCTTTCTTAAGAATGTTTCGTGAATCCCGCCACAGCTGCGTGAAGAAGAAAAAAGAAGCCGCGCGGGTTATTGTGACGTCACAGAAAAAATTCGTAGAACTTATAAGGCCATGAAATTCTCGTGCGTTTTGTGGGTTTAGTAGCAGTGGTGAGTGAAATCGACCAGTTATTTTAAGCGATTGTTATCGATTTTGACAACAATGTATCAGCGAACTTCTCGAGTTCGTCCGTTGACGGATAGTCAGGTGTGCGATCTCAGCACCCCCCCCAAAACCCAGCAGCAACACAGAGGAACAACACCCTCATGAGACCACTGTTGATGCTGGTGAGGGAAACGGCCAGGGGAGTAAGGTGATAGAGAAAGTGAAGAAGAAAAAGAAGTGGTGGAGGTTGACTTCTTTCTTTGGAGCTCTGAAGAAACATCTGAAGGGCAGCTCGAACTCGGTTCAGGGTGAAGTAGAGCTGCAGCAAGAGCAAGAGCAGAGTGAGGGAGTGAAGCCTCAGAACGAATGTAAAGCCAGATGCAGTGATGGTAAATGACATGATCATCTCATAACAATCTGTTGCACAGTTTACTAAAGCGCTGTACGTTACATCAAAAAGTCATCATTTATACCTAGATATCCATTTCTAATAAATTAATCTAGAGGATAGATTAAAATAGCTTTCTTATTTAGTCTTCAATACCCTTTTCCTAAGTTTTTAATGTTTCCTCAATATAGATAAGTTAAATCAGGGGAATTTTAAATATAAAAAATCCACATAAGCACAATAATAAATAAAGAAACTTGAAGACTGATTAAGGCCAAGAAGATATTTAATTCAGGATATGTTAAAAAATACTGATATATATATATATAATTTTTTAAAATGGGAAATATTCCATGTCTCTACTTATTAAAATAATATTGCTAAATCTACAGCTTTAATCATTATATGAGATTGTATATAAAATACATTTGAATAATAAAAATGTTTGAACTTTTGTATCAACTGCAGTTGTTTTATCTTTTAACCAGGGCCGGGTCTAATTTATAAATGAGGACATTCACAAATGTCGTGTAATGGAGGTTTTCACAGCTTTGATAAGTGAAAGTGAAAAGTGACGTGACATGTGGCCAAGTATGGTGACCCATACTCGGAATTGGTGCTCTGCTTTTATCCCATCCAAAGTGCACAAACACACACCGTGAACACACCCGGAGCAGTGGGTGTGATTCGCTTGATTCACTTAATATTGTCTACACACATATTTAACATATATTTAACATTTCTGCACTCACACAGACACAAAATACAAGACTGAAAATTGAGTAAATAAAAGTAAACTATGAATATATTACCCTAGAAAGTGCTGCCCTACCACAATTTCTGATTGCCCCCCCAGTCCAGCGAGCCTAGTACCGGGCCTGCTTTTAACAGACTACACTGTCAGCCACAAGCACCTGGGTGATCAGCTAGCTGAAGGTGGATTTGGTGCTGAGGCGAGACGTTTGGAGGATGACCCTGAAGTAAGTAAAAAAATGAATGAAAACTTACCGAGCTAGCAAATTAATTTTGCCCTGTCTTATCTTCATCATTTGGTTTTATCATTCTATTGTTAGCAAGGCCTCTCAGTGTATCTTTTTGTCCTGGTTGGATTTAAATTAAATCAAACTTTACAAAACGTAACATGTCTATTTAGAATTTAGGACAGGAATGATGAGGCCTCTAACTTGTTAATTTTCTTGATCAGGTGTCTGTGAAACATCTCAACAAGACCGATGAAGACGTGGAAGGTTTATACATTGTAAGTAGGATGCACTTCTTAGCATGTGCTCCTGTTAAAAAACAAAAACAAAAAAAACGTCTCTTATTAACAATAATCACAGACAGTTATTTCTTTCAGTAGAATAACTTGTCCAAGATTAGACTAAATCCTCATTCGGAAAACAACTTTAATCTTACCATTGTAAAAACTCTCTCTTTTAGCTTGGATATCCACACCATCTTCCAGAGGAGATCGCCCTCAACATCCTGGCGAATAGAGGCCCGGATAGCCATGCATGCGATCTCAGCACCCCCCCAAAACACAGCCCCAACACGGAGGAACAACATCCTCATCCGCACGACGAGACCGCTGTTGATGCTGGTGAAGGAAACGGCCAGGAGAGTAAGGTGGAGGAGAAAAGGAAGACGAAAAAGAAGTGGTGGAGGGTGGCCTCTTTCCTTAAAAAACATCATAAGAGCTGCTCGAACCCAGTTCAGGGTGAAGTAGAGCTGCAGCAAGAGCAGGTGCAGGAGCAGCAGAGAGAGGAAGTGAAGCCCCAGAAAGAACGGAAAGCCAGATGCAGTGATGGTAAATGACATGACCATGTCGGAGGAATCTCAGAAAGTCTTCATTCATACCTAGGAAATTAATTAATTAATGAATTGACTAATTGATTATTAGGGGACCAGTCCTCTAGAATGATTTTAAAGGAATTATTTTTGAAAATCATTCTAGTTTTAAAGGATAGGTTATAATAGCTTTTAAGCATCTTGTTTGGTCTCTAATGCACTTTGCCTCATGGTTTCCTCAGTGACGAATTGATCAAATGTGTTAAATCAGGGGAATTTAAAATCAACACATATAAATCAACTTGAAAATGGATTAAGGTCATGATCAGATCTTTAATCCAGGAAATGTAAATTTTTTTTTTATATGCATTTAGTTTAGGGGTGACAAATAATAACATGGACATATTCAATGTAGTCTCTACTGATTAAAATATTATCACTAAACCTACATCTATCATTTAAGATTGTATATAAAATAAAATGGAATAATAGCTATAACAAATGTTTAAAACTTTATATCAACTGCAGTTGTTTTATCTTTTAACAGACTTCATCTTCAGCCACTACCAGCTGGGTGATCTGCTAGGCAAAGGTGGATTTGGTGTTGTGTATGAGGCGAGACGTTTGGAGGATGATCTTAAAGTAAGTGAAAAAAGAATGAAAACGTATCTAGCTAGCGAAGTGATTTTGCCCTGTCTTATCTTTATCATGCTATTGTTTGCAAGGCCTCTCGGTGTTATCTTTTTGTCCTGGTTGGATTTAAATTCAATTAAACTTTACAAAACTTGTCTGTTTAGATTTAATGACAGGAATGATGTGGCCTCTTCACGAGTTAATTGTTGTTTGTTTTCTTGATCAGGTGGCGGTCAAATATGTCGATAAGACCAAAAACTACAAGGAAGGTTTATGCATTGTAAGTAAGATGCACTCCTCTCACTAACTAGTAGGGAAACTGGACTAAGTCCTTATTTGGAAAACAGCTTCTATCTTACAATCATAATAACTGTCTTTCTTTTAGCATGGGTATCAGCAACTTCTTCCAATGGAGATCGCCCTCACAATCCTGGCAAATAAAGGCCCCAGAGCGCCAGAGATCATCCAGCTGCTGGACTGGAAGGACTACGATGACCATTTCGTCATGATCCTTGAATGTCCCTCTCCTTGCGAGACTTTGGAAGACTTTATGAGGCGTCAGGGTGGAAGTCTCAACGAGAGCTTAGCACGGCAAGTCATGAGGCAGGCGGCTCAGGCTGCGAACGTGTGCTGCCAGCGCCAAGTGTTCCACCGTGACATTAAACTGAACAACCTTCTCATCAACAACCAGACACTTGAAGTCAAATTAATTGACTTTGGGTGTGGGGACATTCTGAGGATAACTGTCTACATGTCATACTGTGGTATGTACTGTGTCTCAAAGCTGCAGTTTGGCACTGTAACTCTAGTGACGATTACATTATGACTTGACCAGGCGTGAGTCACCAAAGCAACAAGAAGCATCCGATATATATAGAATTACGACTGTTACAGTCATGGATGTCGTCACTGTTGTGAATCGAACTTGCACATCTAACAAAATCTTTTTCTTCCAGGCACAGCAATATACTCCCCTCCTGAGTTTCACATAAAGGGGAAGTACCATGGCAAGCCTGCGACGGTTTGGTCACTGGGGGTTCTGTTATTCAGAATAGTGGCCGGATATTTTCCAGATTTCTTAGATCTGCACATGCTCAAACTGCACTTCTGTTTCAAAACTGGCCTGTCAAAAGGTAAATATTATCTTTATCAAGGAGTTCAGTTATCATTTTAAACATACAAACAGGGACAAGTGGCTTTATGAAAGATGGCCGTTAGAAACTGCATTAAGTTTTCTTGATTTCTGATGCCTGAACTCAGATCGTACAGCTAATATGATCAGTAAGTTAAAGCAGGTGTAAAGTTTAAGGTCATAATCAGATGTCCCTCTCGTCTTTCTGCACAGAATGCTGCAGATTGCTCCACGCTCTCCTGCAAGAAAAGCCGAAGAAGCGAATTCAACTGGAGGAAATCCTTTCCCACAAGTGGTTTACGGTACTAAACCTAAGATCACCTTAAAATAATTTAAGACATATTTCAAATTTGAAGTTTTCTTGCTTTGCTTTTATTATTAGATTTAATAAGTTGTACATTGTACCTTATAAACTGTAATTTTTAGTGTATTTACACATGTATTAATACTGTATTTATTTCTGTTTTGTTTCAGGTCACCACATAACACCACATACGATCATCGTGTCAGGACCGCTTCCCACGTATCGACACTATATCGCTCCGCGTTATCGTCTGGGCAGAACTATTGTTCCAGCCACCAAAGACAGATTCACAAATAACCTGCCTGATTTATCTCAACTGCTCTGTGTTCCCATAAGTACACATGAACTAAACGAAATGACTAGCAACATGGGCACTATCTTCTCTAATACATTAGAAGCTGTTGCCCCCATCAAATTGAAAAAAGTTAGAGAAAAACCAACAACATGCCTGTTAGATCCTGTACCCTCTAAATTACTAAAAGAGTTGTTACCTGTAGCAGAAGAACCGCTTCTCAATATTATTAACTCGTCGCTGTCTTTAGGTCACGTCCCAAAACCATTCAAGCTGGCGGTTATTAAGCCTCTTATTAAGAAACCACAACTAGATCCTAGTGAACTGGATGCATCTCGTAATCTTGTACTGCAGTTATATCTGATCAAATGCACATTATTATTCTTTAGTTTGGGTTAAACAAATCAATTTTGCTTGATTGGAACAGAAGCTACGCTAATTATGTCTATTTGTTTCTCTGTTTTTGCAAGGATTTACACAAGCTTCAGTCTGGATCCAGAACACCTGAGAAGAGATGATGCCAACCCCTCAGAAGACCTCAGATGATGCCAACCCTGAAACAACATACAGAACTACCACATTTTGCTATAAGTTTGATTGCATCATATAATAATTGCTGTTAATAGTGTTCATCGTCTGTTTGATTACGTCTCTTTTTCCGTACGTTTCTGCCATATGTACATTAACTGACAGTCACCACTGATAAGCTACCACTAAATATTGTAGAAACTCAATTTGCTGTAAAGTTGCTTTGCAACGATTTGTATCGTGAAAAGCGCTATACAAATAAACTTGAATTGAATTGAATTGAATAACACCACATAAGACAGTCTTTCCTTAGTGCAAATCAGATTTTTGAAACTTTCCAGTCTGGTTTTAAGCCTCTGCGTAGCACAGAGTCTGCTTTATTACGGGTCTTTAATGATATTTTGTTAGCGACTGACTCTGGTGTCTCTGTTATCCTAATTCTGTTAGACTTAATGTCGGCTTTTGATACAGATGATCATAAAATTCTTCTATCTCAACTAGAATATTTTGTGGGCATCCAGGGAACTGTTCTTAGCTGGTTCAAATCATATTTAACAAATAGAAGTTTCTCTGTCAGATTGGGTAATTTTTCTTCGTCGCCTGCTAAACTTTCCTGTGGAGTGCCGCAGCAGGGTTCTATTCTCGCACCCATTCTTTTTTCTTTGTATTTACTTCCTTTGGGCTCTATTTTCAGAAAGCATAGTGTATCATTTCACTGCTATACAGATGATACCCAAATTTATTTACCTCTGAAACGAAATAAACATGCTGCTCTGGAATCTCTTTTTGCATGCCTTGATGAAGTGAAAACGTGGTTCTCTCAAAATTTCTTATTTCTGAATGAATCAAAAACTGAGGTGCGGTTTTTAGTTCTTGTTTTTTTCAGCTACGTCTTCTTTCCAAAATTAAATCTTTTCTCTCTGAGAAATCTTTAGAGATTGCTATCCATGCGCTCATTACATCTCGCTTGGACTACTGCAACTCTCTTTATTTCGGCATTTCTAAATCTTCCATCGCTCGTCTCCAATTCGTACAAAACGCAGCTGCTAAATTCCTTAAAGGACAACGTAAATTTGATCACGTTACTCCAGTTTTTGAAATCGCTGCATTGGTTAACTGTGCATTTTAGAATTTGAGTTTAAAATTCTTCTTTATGTTTTTAAATCTATAAATAATCTGGCTATCTGTCTGATCAACTCCATACAATCCTACATGAAATCTGAGGTCTGGTGATCAAAGACTTCTCTCTGTCCCCAGATCACGGTTAAAGCATAGAGGGGATAGAGCCTTTGCAGTTGCTGGCCCTAGGCTGTGGAACAGCCTTCCAGCCTATTTCAGATCGGCACAGTCTTTAACTGTTTTTAAATCATCCTAGCTGTCCACTATCAGCGCCCCCCAATGTTTTCTGCAATAGTTGCACCAGTATCAGAGGCCCAGTCTGCCATGTCTGTCCTGTGCAATCCCAAACATCCCAGAAAATTAGAATATATTATGTATTAATTTATATAATAATTTAACTTAATTTTACTAATTTGCTAAGCATTTTATGAAATATTCTGTAATATTCTAGTGCTTTCTGGAACATTCCAGAACATTGTGAGACAAGTCATAAAAGACAAAAATCGTCCAATGTACACTTCTGAAGTTTTAAATAAAATTAAAATTAAATAAAACGTACACAAACCTGTATTTCACTGAAGAAATGCACTAAACCGGCAGGTAGCTCTCTGAAGAGAATGCAAAAAGCCGCGCTCAGTAACTCAAGGGCGTCAGAGAAAGGGGGAGGGGCATTTCTTATTTCTTTTAACTGTCAGCCATTTTAATTTTAAATTTTTAAATTTTTTTTTTTGTTGAAGATGAATTATTAGCTGTGTTAAACAAATGAACAATTTCTCGCCTTGCAAGCAAAGAACTGTTCTCAACATTTAAAAATCACTGAACACTTGTAATCCTGTTTACCACATCTACCAACTGAGTTAATACAACATAAAAAAGAACTTGAAAATACTTATATTTAAACACCACATCTTCTCTTGTGTGTAACGTTACATCTGCCGGCGCCGCCATTTTTTTCAAATAAACGACGGTTGTTTACGGCGGCGCAAAGAATTGTGGGTTATCTGTAGCGGCGAAGGATACACCTCATGCATCCTCCGAATTGCTGTGAAAGAAGGTCGCATTCGGAGTGTCCTACTTGCTTTTCTGAATTGGACGGCCTCGATGACGTATGCAGCCTTCGAATGTGAGCTAATGTAGTCCATGTTCACTCATCTGTATAAAATAATGTTCAAACGCTTAACAGTTAATACAATAAAAGATATGTTGACAGTTTATAAATGAAATTTTATATGTATGTCTTTTCTGAATTGAGACACCCTCGATGACGTATGCAGCCTTCGAATGCGACCTCCGGAGGGCGCAGCCTTCAAAATGAGACACAGCTATTGATTTAAAAAAAGTAATAATAATGATTCTAGAAAGTGATCAGTATAATTTCTCCATTCTCAAATATTTTGATTGAAATTTAACAAAAATATTAATATAATATTATATTTTTAAATTCTCATTTGTTAGTTAAATTCGAATTTCTTTTCATGAAAAAAAAAAGATAACATTTTAGACAAAATGAACTGTTGGATTTGTAGCCATTTATTTTGGCATGTCAAACTAACTTAAATGAAATTCAGAGATTTTATTAAGGTATATTGTTATTCATCGTGATATTTAAAAAGCCACTGAATAATTCTGTCAGTGAATATAGTTTTTCAAAATGAAAATAATTCTGTATAATTATAAAATGATAAATTATAAAATGACTTTTATTCTATATTACGTTACCTGTATTTTAGATGTTCACGGATGCAGTGGTCTTACAAATAAATGCAATGTTTGTGTGTACGCACTTTCTTTTGATATGTTTTTGTAAGGCAGCATAAATGTGGTTCCAATCTTTACAAAATGATTCACTCATATTACTCACATTGCTTCCTGTTTTTGTTAATAAGTTCTTAAACGCCGCAGGCAAAAACGATTTCCATCCTGACCTCTGAACGTCTGTCTTATATCAATGATTTAGTCCCTGTCATGCCCTTCTGATGGACCCACGGATTCCTGCTGCGCAACTTGATTATGAAATGTTAACAATAACTAGTTCTCATTAAAGGATTAGTTCAATGAAAATTCTGTCATAATTTACTCACCCTCATATCATTCCAAACCTTGGAACATAAAAAAATATTTTAAAGAATGTACTGGGAACTCTTTTCCATACTTTTCAAGCTTCAAAACGATTGCTGGAATCATCCAGGACTGGAATTATGCATTTGATAATAAATCATGTTTATACTGATTATCTCTTTTTCCGTGGCCCTTGTTTTTAGGCCTCTTGTACCAGCTAATCCCACAGGAGGGTGCATCATCTTCTACAAGTTTTGTTCTACTAGTCTCTCTCTCTCTCTCTCTCTCTCTCTCTCTCTCTCTCTCTCTGTTTATCTCTCCACCCTCTTCAATGTGTAAGGCATTTTATTTACTACCCCAAAAATTTTTATTTTATTTTATATACACAAAGACACACTGTAAAAAGGTTTTTCGAGGTAGTAAACAAAATTTTTTTCATTTGTTTACAGTAACAAGAACTATATATAGTGTTCTTGTTACTGTAAATAAATGAAATTTTTTTAATTGCTGTAATTCTCTAAAAATCAAAAGTACATTCATACATATTACAATAATGAGAATCTGAGAGGCAAATGTGCTTAATCGTCATGAAAATATTGTCATTGCTCAACAATGCAAAAAATCTTTAGAGTTGGTTTTATTTTCTTCAAAGCAAAATATAGTTTCATATTTTTTTTCCTTTTGATTTTGAGATTAAATATGATCAGGACATGTTCTTTTGAGAATCACCCGTTAACAATGTGCATGAGTGCAACTGTTTCTCCCATGGACCTTTTTTTCACATTTCTGGGTTTCTCAGCAGCAGAAATAATCATAGTTGGGTAAACTTCTATAGCGGTGAATGGGAGACTATCACAAATTTTATTTTTTGCATTCCCATTTGCTCAAATAGCAAAAGAAAAACTCCATGATAGTGTTTTCTGACTTTCAAAAAAAATGAAAAAAAATAAAAAATAGAGAGAGACTGATAACGGCAGTCAGAGAATGATGTCAAATTTACCATCCCTCCCATTGACGCCGCATTAGAAACATCCTCACATTTTTTTTGTAATCTGATGCAAAAGTAATATAAGTATAGTGTTATAAATGTACATACATTTAAAAAAAAATTTAAATACAAAAAACTTTGGAGGATTTTCAATGCTGATGACCAGTGTTGGGGAAAGTTACTTTTAAAGTAATGCA